TTTTTTTTTTTTTTTTGCGGTACGCGGGCCTCTCACTGTTGTGGCCTCTCCCATTGCGGAGCACAGGCTCCGATGCACAGGCTCAGTGGCCATGGCTTATGGGCCCAGCCACTCCACGACATGTGGGATCTTCCCGGACCGGGGCACGAACCCGTGTCCCCTGCATCGGCAGGAGGTTGTTTCCATCTCCGGGCTATTGTAAATAGAGCTGCAATGAACATTTTGGTACATGACTCTTTCTGAATTCTGGTTTCCTCAGGGTATATGCCTAGTAGTGGGATTGCTGGGTCATATGGTAGTTCTATTTGTAGTTTTTTAAGGAACCTCCATACTGTTCTCCATAGTGGCTGAACCAATTCACATTCCCACCAGCAGTGCAAGAGTGTTCCCTTTTCTCCACACCCTCTCCAGCATTTATTGTTTCTAGATTTTTTGATGACGGCCATTCTGACCGGTGTGAGACGATATCTCATTGTAGTTTTGATTTGCATTTCTCTAATTATTAATGATGTTGAGCATTCTTTCATGTGTTTGTTGGCAATCTGTATATCTTCTTTGTAGAAATGTCTATTTAGGTCTTCTGCCCATTTTTGGATTAGCTTGTTTGTTTTTTTGATATTGAGCTGCATGAGCTGCTTGTAAATTTTGGAGATTTAATCCTTTGTCTGTTGCTTCATTTGCAAATATTTTCTCCCATTTTGAGGGTTGTCTTTTCATCTTGTTTATGGTTTCCTTTGCTGTGCAAAAGCTTTTAAGTTTCATTAGGTCCCATTTTGTTTACTTTTGTTTTTATTTCCATTTCTCTAGGAGGTGGGTCAAAAAGGATCTCTTTTTTTTTTTTACATCTTTATTGGAGTATAATTGCTTTACAATGGTGTGTTAGTTTCTGCTTTATAACGGTGAATCAGTTATACATATACATATGTTCCCATAACTCTTCCCTCTTGCGTCTCCCTCCTTCCCACCCTCCAAAGGAGATTTTTAAAAACCAGTTGGATAGGGAACTGTAATTCTGGTAGATTGAATGTTTAAAGTGAATGGAGATAGTGTAAAACAGAAATTAAAATATTATAAATCAATAATTTTAAACTTCTGCCACTACTTAGAAGGACGTTGGTTCAAAAGGAAGATTAGACATGTTTCAGAGACTAAAGGAACCAAGTGTTATTTGCATGTGTGAGTGTCCCTCAGGTATGATAGTGTCATCTGCCCTCTTTTTGTTGTTGTTTGCTTGCTTTGTTTTTTAATAAAATCATCTCTTACCCCCAAAGCAAAGGTCTTCTTTCTATTTACTTGTCCTCTTGTTCCACTCTCACTTCTCATCCAAAATTATCTTTTTTGCTTGGCCTTGACCACACCCCATATTTCCTGGTCTGAAGGAGAAAGAAGTTTTTCTGTAATGTACAGGGGCCCACAATGGACTTTGTTCCAGGCCCCAATTTGCCTGAGGTATGTTTAGTTTTCATTACCTCTTGCCATTTCTGAAGACAGAAAGACTCTTACAGTCAAAATGTCTTACAAGTTGCCAGGCAGAGGAGAGAGTTATAGTGTTTCATCAGTAGTCATTTTTTGAGCATCTGTGAACCAAGCAATGCATTGTGGTATTTCTTCATTTTGTTATCTCTCCCAGTTGAGTTTTTTGCACTGATAACAAATGGTTGAATTTAACCTAAATTTGGATCCCTAATTCTTTGCTCAGAATGTCTGCAAAAGGATATCTTTATGATGCAGCACTGAAATGAAAATAAATTCTGTACATAGAAGATTGCCTGTCATGTACTCCAGGAGGTGGAATTAAAGGGTGTCAAACTTGCCAGATCTCTTGCAACGGATCACAGGCTTTCCAAAACAGGGAGAAGTTTGTGTGGCTAATTTCTTTTTCACATAGGACTATTAGTCAGTATTGGAATGCCAATCTGTGAAAAGTTTTTGGCTAACTTTTAAGAGAAGCTATTTGACCTATAGTAATGTGTAATAAGGTAATAATAGAAAACACAAAATGCTGAGTTCAACCAAATAGGAAATGCAGAGGAGAAAGTCCTAATATGATTTGATTTGGCTTGAAATTTACTGACAATCTTAAAAAATGTCAAGATCACAGGCACCAGTGAAAAGCTAACTTTAACCAACCTCCAAATAACTGAAGGTGATTTAGAAGGAACTCCAGATCCTCTAGACTCTCCTAGGCAAATATTTTCAAGAAGGTTTAGGTCGAATTCTGGTTTAGGTATTGAAAAGAGAGAGTTTAGATTGATAAGTGAATGGTATTTTTAGTTAGTTTTAAAATAAATGAGTACATGTAGTGTGACATTTACATTTTTAACTTGAAACCTCTTATAGACAGTGTGTCATAATCGGTGGCCTCTTAGACTCAAGGAAATGGGGAAGTTATATTGCTGCCTCTCTTTCATGACCTTGTTTTTGCCGTCCAGCTGATCTCTGAACACTTCCTACCTCTCATTATACAATCCAGCTGCCCTGAACAATTTCTAGC